ACGCGGACCTTGGGGTTCAAAAGCCGGCGACATGTCACACATATCCCCCGAACAGGAAGTCGAAGCCTCGCCCAGTTCTGCGCTTGGCTGAAATCGATGTCGCCCACCGTCGATGTCGACGTTGTTGCGGGGCTGGGCTTGGTGGTTTTCGTTGGGGAAAAGTCTGTAGATGGGAGAACTCCATCTATCTCTCTAAATATATATATATGTAATATATACTCTTAGAGAAGGAGACTTGACTAAAACCTGGCTACCAAACTCATCACGCCGGCCACTTCAGAGCTTGTCTCACCATGAGAAGGGCGAACGAACACAAAGGGTCTTTCAAGTCTTATCCGAGAAAAACAGTACCTTTATTGTTACTGTAGTAGTAAGGCCAGGAGCCCCTAGTAGCGTCCTTGCTCCTAGTAGCGATGCCAGGAGCTAGCGTCCTTCAAGCATTGGGAGTGTCGCAGTGTTGAGGCATGACTGATGCAGCCAAAGCACAAAGGGTGCCACTAGGACAAGCAGGAGAGCTCCCGTGCGGGCCACCATGGTGAAGTGCCACGCCACTATGAAATGAAATAGGGGTTGTACCAACTGGATCTCCCTGCAATCTGGAAGGGATGAGGTGTGATGAGGTCAGTGGAACTCCCTCCTCTAGACTAGAGGTATAGAACTCAGTGAGGAGAGCCCAGTATCATCAGTATCATCCATATCAATCCATATCATTTAGCTGCTCCATGTGAGTAAAATCTGGGCACACAGAACCGCCCTTGGTTGAAGAAGTTTCGCCGAAAAAAGAAAACAATGCTGAGAAAGGATCAGATCACTACTATAAGTAGGATATTCCACCTGACCACATGACTGGCCCATTGGCAGCATCATGGTCCAGTCTGAAGCTCTAATGGCTGCAGCCAGGCTCCAACCTTTTGCAAACTCATGTCTGAAGCAACTCTGATAGCAAAATGTCATATGATTTCCAACTGAGACACAGTCTTGTCACCCTTCGACCACTTTTTACCTAGCACACCAACCTCTTACGCTTTTTGCCGCAAGGTGTCTTTGTCAGTTGATCCTCTTCTTCCAAAATTGGAGCCTTGGAAATCCTCTTCGCCCTTTACTTTCTTGTGAGATGGGTTCACTCTGTCTAATCTCCCCCAGTCCCAACTGTCCTTTCGGTGATTCAATTGTTCAAGAAGTCCATGACACTGTCCATGACCTTTCGATTTTTATGGGGTCACCATCAGGAACTCGGTTGCTGGGAGAGATGGACTCGATTTGGTCATGCTCCGAGTTCGGTTGCGAAGCAGCTGGTGTTTTCAATGAAGAAAGCCGTGACAACTCAAATCCCGCTTTTGACTCGAGCCGAATCCAGGCATCTGATAAGTTGTTGTCAGACAGGGTGACCTACTAATTAGGGAAACCCTAAAACCCGATGAAAAGAGCTTCTCTTCATTCCTCCCATCGGCCGGACGTCCGTCCCACCTGCACGGCTGCCTTCGTCACAGCCGGCTCGGTGGACTGGACGCTGTTCGTGGGTCACGTGACGGACGTGACGTGGGTCCCGCTCGGGTGATGGGGGCAGGCCGAGGTGACAGGGGTAGAAGTAAGGACGTACACTCCGTGAAGTACATGTTTTTCTCATGCTTACATGATGTTACATGTTGTGATTTACCATGGATATGACACAGCTCAGAATCACAGCATGGTATTTACATGGATATGATTGACATGAGTATGTAGGACATTGCTTTTAGAGGACCATGGCTTCAGCCATAGTCCGAAGACCAAACAGGTGATGTTCACTCCACTTAACCATGATTGTTTCAGAACATGTCGTGCACCCTGAACTATCCCAAAGAAGTGCCGGGGTTTCCGCCCTTGGATAGGGACGTGCGTTTGTAGACTATAGGGCACGTCACGGACATAAGCGCCAGGAGGCAGACGGTCGTCAGCCTCCTGGCGCTGAGGGGGAGATCGGGAGAGGCGTTTTGTCTTCATTCATGGTCCAACCCTGGTCCAACCCTTTTTCTGGGCGTCCATGTCTGTGAGTCCCAGGTCAGTTGACTTTCAGAAAGTCACTGAAACATCAGCGCGCGGAACTCCTCTTTCCTACCCCGCGTGACGCAGTTTCCAGTCTTTTGCTGGATCTGTGCCGTGCAACTTCCACCATGCAATAGGCCACTTGGCCACCAACCTTGGCAGGCTGCACAGCACTGTTTGTAAACTCTTATTTATAGAAAGTCTCACAACGGTCAGGAGGGCAGAAACAAAGACAGAACACACAAAAAAAATAATCAGCAAGCCTAATACATATGTTCCATTATCATTATCCAGTGTGAGTCTTTAATATACTATATTATTGACACATTCTTTGTATTTGGTAACTTTGCGCAAAAGACTCGCTTTTCAACGCCTGCAAGACTTGTTTCAGTCTCGGGTTGCAGTCAGAGCCGAGAGTGCTATTTCTCTTCATGGCATGGATGGACATAAACGTTCGATTCCGCTGACCCGGGATTCGGTGCGGCGTGGCCTGTGTCTTGAAAATGGACAATTGGACAAATGGATGAAGTCGCAATCGCGATCCCAATGCAGACTGCACACTCATCCACAATCCACACGTGTCCCTGCCACCACAACCTAACAAAGTTCGAGGCGCACTGCACACCATTTGAACAAAGTGCCAAAATGCATAGACTCTGACGCTTGACACAAAGACTGTTTGATTTGATAATTCAGTTGGGATGGATACGAGTAATGCTTGAGACTTGAGTCAGGGATTTCCAGGATTGCCGGGTCAGCTTGTGGTCAGCCAGCCTGAGTCTACTGATTCAACAGAATAATCAACAAACAACAGATAGACAAATAGACAAATAGCAAATATATACTAATGGTTTATTGCATGAAGCTCAAATTCTGATGCAATGATGATGACGATGACAATGATGGGTGAGAGTGAGAGGGTGACAAACAATCTGCCAACAGTAGCGGTGACTGACTGATTCACATTCCGGGAACGATATCCGGAACAATATGACCATTGTCATACCATGTGGTGCCCAGCTATACATGAGCATCTATTACTTCAGCAAGTGCTTTGCACTTGCCAGTAGCCTGCGGCGGTTTGCCTCAGCCTTTTTCTCCTCTTTGGTAGCTGCGGCAACCTTCCATTCAAGCCCGGCATTCTGCATCTCAGAGTGTCGTTCGGATGAAGCGGCGCTAAACCCGAATTGTGGGTGACTCGGTTCTGGAGCAGGGGGGGCTGCCAGGCCCTTCTTGGCTTTGGGCACAAACCGAATCAAGGGCATGACTGTTTCCTCATCACTCATCATCTGCTCGACCATCTGTGACATTGGCACCAACCTTGTGACGACGTGTCACAATGTCAAGCCGCGTCAAGTGAATTAAAGAACACTATGGACTATACACAATGATGCACAATAAATGTGTCATAACCTCATCACCGCAATTGTCTTCAATTTACCAATAAAAATGAACCCGAGTCGTAGTTAATCGTTCCTTCCTATTCCTTCTCATTCCTACTCAGCTTTGCGACAGCAGTAGCCGTCTAACCTCATGTTGATGTAGTCCAGTAATCAATGCGCCGCCAACTGACTTATAGAAACATTGTTGAGTTTCTGGTTTGATGATTAATAAATTCATATAGTGCTGGAATGCTGGACAACTGGACAACTATCAAACGACTTTCCAGATATTGGTTTAATTCAGTTTAATTCTTTCTATGTGCATGTTTCCTTCAGGCTTCAGGTCATATTCAGTCAGCCCAGAAGCATTTTGATGTCCAGCTCAGCCTTCGTGATTGATGGCGGTTGCGGCTGCTGAGAACGCACAAGTTGCCACCCTGACTCATAGTCTGACTGCAGAAGAACCGTCATGTCGCTCATCACAACCTGGGCCATGCATTCATCCATTCAGTAAATTAGGCAAGCCAGTAAGCCAGTGAGTGAACTGGAATGAAAAGCGGAAACCGACAAGACAAAAACAACAGCGCAGCCTAACCCAAATGCAGGCCAGCCAAGGCACAATGGGGACTCTGTGAAAATCTTCGATCATCGTTGCGACGGTGGTCTTGTTCGTCGTAGTTGCAAGCCATGCCGGAACAATCAAGGAGCTTGTTGGAGAAGGAAGGGGTACAGGATGCACGTAGAAGTCCACGTCAAAGATGGTTGCAATCTTGAGTGAGTTGTTCCCTTTCAGCGTCGACACCGGTCCTGCAAAGGGAAAGTTGAGCAGCTTGACGTCAGCCACAAATGGTTTCTCCGCGCCACTTTTGTTGTTTTTGTCAAAGACCGTCAAATCGATCAGAACTCTCTGAGAATCAAGATCTTTCTTCACTTTGGCTACCTTTGCCTTGCCAGCACTGACAGCGGCCGATTCCTCTTCAGCTGATCCAAAGTTCCAAATAGTTGATCTCATGGCAATGTCTGTCACCATGCGGACGTACTTCCAAAGGGCCGACTCTAAGTTGAGTTCCAATCTTTTCAAGTGTGTGCTGTCAAGGCACCCTGACTCCTCAAAAAGCTCTTTGTAATGGTTGGCTTCTTCAAGAGGTTTCAGGCCTGCCAAAGAAATAGACCTCAAAGTCATGCGTTCCCTGACCGTCGGCTTTGTTTTCACATTGCCCTCATCATCATCATCATCAGCGTTCTCACCCGGTTCCTCTCCAGTGCCAGCATCAACATCGGCCTTTTCGTCTTCACCACTCTTGGAAGTGGCAAGATCAGGAGCAAATGTTTTGAGGTAGCTGTAGGCTCCCTCTTGGGTCTTTGTATCCAGAAAGCTTGCCCAATTTGCCGCCCATGTCTCATTGCCTCAAAGCAAATGCAGTGGCATCCGGTGCCCGTGAGCTCGTGAGCTTTTACGCTACCCGCTACCTAACAAATATTAACCATTATTGACATGACATGAGAAGTCTTGAAAGAAATGGATACCTTGCTCCTAGTGCCCGTGGCATTGATTAGGCATTCGGCATTCAGCTAGCAGCAAGCACAAACTAATCAAACCAAAGCACTTTGCAGTACGTCAAAGGCTGCAAGGAGCATGGCCACAGGGTGTGCTTTCTTGGCTTTGGCAGCTACATCTGCGGAAGCCGGCGAGCTTCTAGCCTTGATAGCTTGCTCAATGTTCTCCATCAAATGACCCACCTCAACGTGCAAGAAGGTAATCACAAGGTTGACGGAGGGTGAAAACTTGGTCTTCCTGATGTTGGCAAGATCTCGCAAGAGTGTCAGGTTGTAGAAGGACCGGACGAGCAAAAACTTTTCCAAGAGGTACTTGTTGTCTCCGAAGACCTTCCCACTGTCAGCCACAAAGTCCAACCTCACCGAATGGAGTTCTGAGACGTCAGCAGCAAAAGCAATCCAACTTGGAGGCAGTGCCACACTCAGCTGAGCAGAGATCCGCTGCAAGACTTGCATAGGGGTACTGTCCTCACTGATGCTTGAATCTGTTGCTAGCTCCTGCTTGGCAGTGGAGAACTTGTTGTGAAATTCCAGGGGCAGCACAAGGATGTTGTTGATGAACGCTTGCATGCCGGACTCAGTCACAGTCTTCAGGTTGGTCTCAATGCGACGCAACGCTGCCGTCTCATCTGAAGCATCCTGGAAAAGTGTGGCTCGTTGACTCATTGACCCATGGAAGCACGAAACATAAGAACAATTAGTTAGTTATTAGTCTTTAGTTATTATTATTGCTAATACAATATGATTGGAGGTGTCGGCTTTCATGTGCATTTGGCTCACCCACCCAGCAAAAGGCGCGCCTTCATTTGGTGCAAAGGCATGCTGTTGCTGCTGCTAACTTCACCGGAACCTTCAAACAAGTCTGAAAGCGTTGTACCCAAACCCAGTGGTGCTTGTTGGCCACTGGTGATGCCCGTACTTGATGATGTCAAAGCAAGCTCGCACGCGGTAGTGGCAAACGTGGTCAGCTCTTCTCTGAACGACGAGTATGTGCGTGTGAACTTCCCGTTCAAGGCAACTGATCCAGACCAAGCAAACTCCATGAAGCAGCTGACCGTGTGGGAAAACATAGACTTCATGCTTGTCTCCCACTGTGATTGCAACTTGCGAGCGCCCTCGAGCTTGTCGTACTTCGCTTGATACCGTTTGATCACTTCCGTCACAATACTCATGAAGTCATCTAGAGCTGTCTTTTGCCGACCTTCGCCAGCGGAAGCCGGATCATCACACAAAGGGAATACCATTGAGGACCATTGACGAGTCTCACAATCTTCACCATCGCAATCATTCCCCTTGCCCTTGCCTGGCTTCCGCTTGGATGCTGCTGTCTTCTTTGATTTCCCCTTCTTTCCTTTGCCTTTTACTGGAGTAGTATTATCACACTCATCTGCAGCACTCTGGCTCTCTGCTTCAAGCCTTTTGAAGACCACACTGCTCGCCATTGGCACAACAAGGAGGTTCATGTTGGCAACAGTCTCTGCACCAGGTTTGAAAAAGATCTGTGGCAGCAGCCGCTGACCTCCCCCATTGTGACGCGTCGGAACCTTGGCTTGCCATCAGCACAACACTACACAACATTCACCTTTCCATTGGTCCATGAATGTTGTGAGAAGTGAGAATGCAATGAATACAGCAGTATAAGTATACAATTATTTATCCAAATTCTGATCCCGTGATTTAACACCCGGCCCGACACCTAACACCCGAGTGAAACAATAGTAAATAGTAAAGTAGTTTGGCCCAACTGCCCAACTGCCACCAATGGACTGTATTCACGCCGCTGCCCTATTATGTCCAAGTCCATTGTCAATTGTCCACTTAGATTCAGGCACAACGCATGCTTAACGTTACAAAACCATATATATATAATATATAATATAACTTATATAAGTATAGTAACTATAGTATACATATAGACGTAAACAGTTCCATTAATATAGGGTCGCCTAGTGGGGTGACCTGCGGTTGTTCCTGGTTGGTTGTAGCAGTTGTAGCCAGGAAATATGAAAGAAAGGCTGAGAAACACAGAATTTGATGGCCTCAAGCAGAGCCAGTCCGATGTACTCCTTGGCCCAATACTTGGTCAGGCCATTGGAGATGATGATGGCAAGCTGGTGCAACATCAAGATAATGTCCCTGCAGCGATTAGTTTGTTTATTCAAATTCACATTCACAAACAATTCGGTATTTATGTGTATGGAACTTCACTGGAAAAAAAGGCAGAAGTTGTGTTCAGTACCTGCACCAGGTATGGATGTGTGTGTGTGTTCAAGCGGTTCAACGCAATCTACCAAAATAAGTCGATATAGCATACCTTCCCTGATGATCACTGGAAGGGCCACGACAAACAGCAAGCCAAACAACGGTCGCGCGACCCAGCCTGTTGTTGATCTTGAAGTCCGCAAAGTTTAGATTGTTGTTGCACCAGGAACGCAGCTGGTCTTTGATGCCATACTTGTTCAAATAGTTGTTGAGGATGGTGGTGCTCTTGAAATAGTTCAATGACTCACCCCAAGCGGACTCTCCCCGCTCCCGGAAGACAAACTTTTCAAGAAAGCTGTCATATGAAGCGCTCCGTGTTGTTAGACCAGTCTCCTGTGTACGGGTTTCCCAATCCCGCATTATCTCCTCTGACTTGTCAAGCAAGCTTATCCACGTTTCACCGGTGCCTTGGTGGTACTGGTTGTGCATCGTGCAAAGTGCTCGTCGCACCTCCACTGGTGTGTCTGGCCTGAGCATCCTGACATTCTCTAGGCCGGTCGACATTGCACGTTGTACATAGACATTGTCTTCATCACGGCTCAGTGCTCTGTAGAGTGCTTCGCTTCTGTGTCCGAAGGTGATGGCATACACAGGAAGCTGGTTGGAAGGGCCATATACCATCCAAGCCCTTCCTAAGTGTCAGTGTCAGATAAACCACCAGTGTCTTGTCCAGTTAAAGCACAGCAGTCAGTGAAAGATTATTCTAGATAGACTAGATAGATAGAATAGATAGATACATATTTACTCGTAAGACTCGTAAGAACCTCCCACCTTCCACCCTTCGGCTGATGTGCTCGTTGTCATGTTGTGGATGGACGATTCAGTGGGTGATGTGTTGTTCCTGTTGTTGTTGTTGTGGTCGTCATCAGTGTTGTAGTACGATGTTGTACTCACAAACAATATAAGCCACAGTACAGTAAAGTAATTGATTTTGGCGAGGAACCACTACAGTCCACATTGAGCCCTGAAGTCAAAATCCTGTCCGCATAAGCCTCTGCTAGTGACTCCATGATTGGTCTGTTGGTTGGGTCTGGTCGAATTGCACGCTCTCCGTTGATCAGCCAGGGAATGGTTGTTGTGCCACATCCATATCGACTGAAGACCTCTTCGACGAAGAGTTGTCCTTTCAACCCAGCAAACTCGTCCAATGGTGACGTTGAGCTGGGCGCCTGATCACCGCTAGGTGTTTCTGAACGCTTCATTCTCTTCGCAGTCCCATTGCCACTGCCGACATCAATGCTGTCGCCCCTCTTCATTGAAGCGAAGTCAAAAAAGGAAGGCGCAACAGGCTAGGCGACTAGGCTGACAGGCTGACAGACAGACTGATGGTCTGGTTCGCCGATGATTCGATCCGATGATCAAAATGATCACTGCAAAGCCAATGCACACAATATACTTATCTCATGTGACTTGACAAGATGAATCACAAATGCATTTGCACCCAGGACTCATTGGTTGATTCACACTCTACACTCTCAATGCCACACACACGCATCAAGATCAAGATCAGGAACAAAAAAGGTTCCAAACAATCCAATCAATGTCTGCCTAGGAATCCCAGGAAGGGAGAAAGCCTGAATCCTCAATCGTATCCCCAGCTGAGCCCCACGCCCCATGTCAGGCAATGAATTCAATTTGAATTCAATGGAGTGTTGGGCCTGGCAGGACTGCCAGCACTCGTCTCATTCATTCGCCACCATTCATTCACTCACACTCCCGACTCATTTATCATACACTCATTATTTCCCATCTAACCACGTTTCAAACGTCAAGGTCAACTTCACAGGCAGGCTGCAGACTCAACGTGATAAGCAAGAAGCAAGAGTCACAGCATGTCACAGCCGTTGGCTATTAGTTAGTCACAGCCATAGTTGGCAAATATATAGCCCATGGCCATGCCAAAACAAATGCCATACAACAACTCAACTGCCCTGATTGAATGATTGAATAGTCACTTGGACTCAGACATGACAGACAGACAAAACTCAGCATGGTAGCCAGCACAGGTCCATTACCCATCTATTTTCCTTGATTCGCGATCCACAATCTGTGGGTGTGTCTTTGGCCCTTGGCCCTTGGCATTCATTTCCCTTCCCTGCCATCATCAGTGCCTTTGTAGTTTGTGCTCCGACCGGTCCGACCGTGATTTTGAATGAAGTTGAAATCAACCAAAATATTGAACTTAGAAGTTAGAAGCACAGGCGCAGGCAAAACAAAAACAAAGGAGCTAGAACTGTTTGTCAGTCACGTTAACCCAGGCAGAGTTGGACTTTGCATGAAACTACCGTGCAATGCCTGTTACATCACAACTGTACATTCGACCGATTGGATGGGAACACTCCAGAGAACACGGAACACCCTATGCCCAGGGTGTTTCAGAACTAGATTGACTGACCAACAAACAGGCCAACAGGTCAACAGAAACGGAAGCAAACAAGAACCTGAAAGCGAACCAAACCAAAACGAACTGTTCATTGTTTGTTTGCTGGCACTCTGAATTACCTGTGGCCGCCTGTGGCCTGAAATGTGCATGCAATGCAATGCGTGCAAGGATCATGCACCGCTTGAAACTCTGTACGGCCTGTACGGTCTTTATTTGACCTTTGGGTCAAGTACTCTTCACACAAACTTCGCGATCAGCTCAAAGTCAGAGCCCTCACTTGCCCAATGGTAATGGTGATGAAGGATGCACCTTCCTGAACATGCGGCCGTGAATGGTGCGAGCGTGGTGGTGAACTTCTTCACCTGGTCGCGCTGGAGATTTTCCACGAATGCGTGAACGAATCCGGGCAGAGTCACCGTCGCGTTCTGCATCACCTTCAACCAATGCCAGATTTTGCCGCATAGAATGAACCCCAGTGATGATGGGCCCAACGCTGAGAACCTCAAACGCATCAGTGGTCAGTACATCATGTAGTAATCATGTAGCATTTAGAAAGTACAGCTTTTCAAACAGTAGCTTTCCAATTACATATTTCATATTTCATTCATGTATTTACATATTTATACAACTGATATCAACTGATGCAAGATGATTCAAGCCTTACAAGCCCATTAGGCAAGTGCCGCTAGTCACACAGAGACATTTCATTTTAGACCCTGTCCAATTTGGATTGCAAGACAAGCAACTGGGCAATAGAGGAGCGAATGTAGCATGTGAACTTGTAAGACAAAGATATTCATAGAGTTTCCAGCCTGCTGGCGCAATACTCGGGACAAGCGAGGTGCTGAACCATCTGGACCATCTGCGCTGCCTGTTTCAACATGAAAGGGGCACCAGAGATATCCCCGTCCCTTGCGCAATGTTGGATGCAATGGCCAAGCTTGCGTTACCAAAAGCTCTGTTCCTGTCAACCATCTCCCCTGCGCATCATCCTTCGCCACCTTGTCCACAAGATCAATGAAACCTGTGAGGAGCAGGAGCATGGTTAAATGAGCTGCAGCAATGTCACGTTTCAATTTCAATAAGGAACCTATAACCTACAGTCAGTTGAAACTGACAACTGACTAGTCAGTTGTATCACCACGTCTTTGTTATTTTACTTATGTTCCATGATGCGGACAAACAATCACTTGAACACTTGAATGCATCCGTATTGAATATTTGAACATAACGTTGCCTTCTCCTGTTGAATGTGGTGGATCTGCCCAAATCATTCCAGCATTGGCGATGACCGTGTGCAGAATGTCCGGGCTGGAATGCATTGCGTGTGAGGAATCTCCATTTTGATTCAAAGACCATGCGCAACTTGGGAAACGACGTCGGTAGGCCTGGTGAGGTTGGTGAGACCGAGACCAATGACAAATGTCTGAAATGTCTAGAAACCAGAATCTAGAAGCCATTAAGTTATATTAGATAAATATTTAAGATACAGTACTTTCAACTCAGCAGAATACAAGGGCAGGAACATGTCCCTGCCTCCAAGTATTTGATTTCATTATCCGAGAGAGCCATCTCAAACCTGCCGACTGTCCCATCAGCGGTTCCATCATCATTCCGATGATGAGTTGCAGTCTTCACTGAGGGCCGCTCGACAGCCCAGGCCAAGTCTTGTGTGATCTCATCCTCCAGTCTTGTTCTATGTAATGTATGTAGTGTATGTAACTATGTATGTATGTCTGTAATCAAAGTCATCAAAGTCAATTTAATGCCGAAGGGGGTGTCAGAATGCAACACTGCGCTTGAAAATATAGTTGAACACCACAGCACACGATTTTCACAATGACAATGTAATGAACTTGCAATGAACTTCCGAACCGAATGTAAACATTGCACGGACGGAGCACCGAACATGACTCATGACTCATCTCCTTCGCTCCCACGTCAGTGACCATATGCTGCCAGTAGTACTCGCGGAAATTCATCGCACACTCCCGATAGAATCTCTGTGCAAAGCCAGCAAAAGGAACAGGCTGCTCTGGCTCCGGGCACTTGATTCGATGAGTCAAACGAGTCAGTTTGCGCTCTCGCCTTGCTGGCTGTCCGAATGAAGTAGCGTCGCATATGGTTTCCTCAATGTGGTAGAGATGGCCAAGAAACCTCTGCAGCAGCGAAGCTGGAAACCTCGTCGAATTCTCATGCAAGATTTCCGGTTCCTGCGTGGGATAGATATGAACAAGCAAGCATAAGCAAGCATTAGCATTCAAGTATACCAAAACACAAACAATACAGACAGACAGCCAGACAGCAAAAAGACGAGAACAACAGCTTGTACGTCAGGGCAACTGCACCACATTCTACTAACCTTTCCGAAAAACTGAGCTATCAGATAATCAGACCTACCTTACCCTGCTGGCCGCCTTAGTGAGAGTTACTGTGACTGCAGACTGTAGCTGGTTGATCAGTTGATCAGCAACAATGCTGCATGTGGCATGCACTCATCAAAAAGGGTATGTCTTTGCTGTAGTATTTGAAGGTCTTGTCAAAACAAATCGAATCGCAAACACACTAATTGAATCAATTGAATCAATAAATTGCAGAGAACTGTCTCCTGCAGATGCAGTCGATGGCCGACCCAAACGAGGAATGGCAAGATCGTGTGGTCGCGTATGCCTTGTTGCTTCCCAATTGATGAATGCGCTGTGCAGCTGGAACCGGCTACGTGAAGTTTTGCCATACGCCTCATCAAAGCTGAACTACGCCAATAACGTTTTAATAGAATTCAAGAACAGTCAAGCACAGTAAAGAATCCCAACTTTTAAATCCAAAGCACAGGTGGCAGTATTTCTCGTGGCTGTAGCACCATGAGCAGGTCTTAATGGCCTCACCACTGGCAACCATGTTGGAAAGGACTTCCAGCGCCAATTCCGGTTGCTTCTTTAGCTGTGAAATAACCTCTTGGAGCTCCGGCCGGTAAAAGGAGTTCAAGTCGCCAAAGCAACAAGTGTCGGAGTTAGTGTTTTTGTGGTCTTTCTTCCCACTACTACTGCACAGTAACTTGTATCTCAGAAGCTCTGTCCGGCATGATGCATCATATTCGATCTGGTATAAGATCTTTGGGGCTGACAGCTCCACAGTATGTCCGCGTTTGTTTCCAATCTCACGGACATAGTGGTCAATAATGTGAAGCGTGGTCTCAGGTGCTCCTATTCCTGAATAGGATGTGCTAATGCTGAAGGAATGGAGACGACTAGCGAGATCACTCCAGCTTAGCCTATCGCCCTCAATCTCATGGTCATGCCCGGCTGGAGGGTCAAGAATCTCTTCCAATGCATGATTGAAGAAGTCAAAGTTGTCGGCCATGTTCCTCACAACCCGCTTGTTCTTCACAGAGAGGCCGTAGAGAGCCGATTGCACATCCTGTGTAGCCTGTGTTGAAGGCTGCGTTGCAAGCGACTGCGACTCAACAATCGTGGCCGGCAATGTTGGAGCAACCCCAGCAACCTCAGGCTCAGCTTTGGGTGCAGGTGCCTGTGTTGGCTCTACCACATGTTCGCCCTGCGGATTTGCATGGCCTTCAGCAATCCCCGTAGATTCTCCTGACTGTGGAGGTACATCGCCTTCTTGCGCAGGCACTTTGTCATTGCTGTTGTTTGCGCCTTGGTGACGCGGCACACTGACACATCTCACATCACATCATGTTGAGACCATCCGTCCGCCGTCCGTTCAACCGGAATATGACCCGAACAATCTCAACCCAACCCAACAAATTCCGGCAAGTCACGAAGTGAGTCGCTGGCAGCTGGTTCGGCATTGAGAGTT